AAATTAAACTCTGCATTTACTTTTATAATTCGATTAAGCACATCACTTACAATTCGAACAAATAATTACGACTTCATCGATTGCTGAAAAACAAGAGTTGAGACTAGCAGATTGATTTGTATCGGAGGGATATAGATTGATCTGTTTCTATTTGATTTGTGAGCTTTCAACTTTCAATTTTCAATGTACAACTTTCAAGTTCCTAGGAGTTCCAAGAGCAACGAGTCACGCTCAAACTGATGTGCATACATCATTGCAGCTGCTGTGGGTGCCGCGGAAGGGAGTTCCACCAAGTAAGCTGGATGCTTGATGCTATCCTAGCAAAACACAACGGTGCATGGTGCATTGTATATGGAATGTATATGGCAGGTCATAAGCTAAAATTTCTCTATAAAATTTTTATGTTACTATTTGGATTTAGAACGCATTTATTCATCACTTCTTCAGAATTGGAGAGCTTTGAATATATGTACTTATAGATTGTAAACATGCCCGTAGAGTCCCTTAAGCAAGGACGAAACTAGTCATGTGATGCTTTCAATCTAGAAGCACTATATCTTAATAATGATTTAATATTAAGATATTCACCTGAAGAAGTCCCGCCAAGACAGAAGCAACATTGTCGTGGACGGCGATCTATTCTAATACACACCCACAACCACACCCTTGACCCTTAAGCACACTCGATATCCAGATCATGTGGTGCTTTCAATCTAAAAATTTCTTTACCATAATTTAATGACATGTTCAGAATTGGAGAGTTTTCGATTTATGCAGTAACATATTGTAAAAGTGCTCCTAAAATTGTTATTTAATTACGCTTTGAGTCTTAACTTCCTCATGAATTTGAGCGAGTTCAGACTTGTGTGTAATTATGAAATTCTAAACATACATGATGAGTCCCTTAAGCAAGGACGAAACGTCGTGTGATGCTTTGAATTTCAACTCTATATTTATCACTATTTAAAAAGTAATTGATAAGTTTAAATTCAACACTTATTGAAACCTGTTTTGCTAGCTTTTGATAGACTTTCTTTAAAGTCATCTCAATAAATATACACAAACACCCTGCCTTATGCTTTTAGTTTTGTTTGATTTCTTGAAGGTTTCTCTTTTGTTTGTTCGTTTGGTTGACTTTTTGCATAACTTTTTTCGGAGAATGAAGCATGTTTATGTTGAAAGAAAAATAAAATGGTTGCTTGGCTTCTATTGCGAAGTGTACGTTGCAGTTGTTTCAGTGTTACTTTTTAGTCACTTTTGTCGATTGTTTGAGTTGTGCACTACAGAATTATAATTGATTTTTTTTTTGTGTATTTGATGCCTATTCTTTTCGGAATTTTTTTTCAGATAGGGCTTCAAATCATAGGTGTATTGACATTTGTAAGTGATAGTTTAGGCATAATTAATACTGTGTTTGTGGATGAGTGTCGGTGGAAAGGGATAGATGATTTTTTTTGTTAGTGGTAGACTTCGTGGTCGTTTTAATATTGAGGATTCGTTCACAAGGAGATTTTGTTATTCCTTTGCTATTGTTTACGAGCTTATCAACTTCTTCGTTGTTGTATGGTATAGATTTATATATTTTAGCTTTTTTCAGCAAGTTTTTCAAAGTGTTTTAATTAGTCGCCCATTTCTAATAGTAGTCAAGGTATGTATATGTGTTTCTTTTTGTGAGATCAGCAGAGATTTTGTGTAGTACTATACAATAATTTAGTCATATTAGTGCTAAGAGAGGATAGGTTTACGTTTTTTCTGTAATGAATTATGCTATATTGAATCTCTAAAACACAAAGACTTATGTGATATGATGTGATATAGTTAGTCTTAGTTATTAACTAGTTTTGTCGTAGAGAGCTTTCATAGAATATGATCTCTTAAGAAGGCTTCATATATTTGTATCCTTAGTAGAAAGGTAATGTAAAGCCATGCTTAGAATATGAATATATTTTGTATTATTTATATAATACATCATTCATTAAATCTATCTAATGACATTCTATCTGGTCATAAAAGGTTCCATTTGTTTCACACATGAGCAAAAGCACTGGTCAAGAATCGATTCTTATGATTAGACGACCAATAGGTAGTCAGTGAAATAAATGCAACATGAAATCCGATTTAATATTGTTTGCATATTGATGTCCCTACTATACGATATGCCTCTTTGCTCATAATCTACTATGTGCGTCGTCCCTTTTAAGATAAACTACATATAACTTTTCTCCAACAATGTACTTATCCGTCTACTGCTTTATTTTTCACTGCTAGAGCGATTGTTTGTATAGAAAAGGCATATCATATCTTATTATGTGATATTCGAAAACACCAAATAATCATACCGTAACTTGCTTGACGACCATGCTTAAGTGTGATTAGAACGATCATCGTAAATGGTATCGAATATGCTTATTTTTCCATCTTACCCACCCAATATCTCTAACTAAATAATATGTTTGTTTTTCTTTCACTCAACATGTTACATCTTTCCTTAATTATAATTCTTGTAATATTCACATATAAAGAGAAAAAGTGCAGAAAACATCGAAGTAGAGAGAAGCTTCAAAAAAAAAAAAAAAAAAGAAGAAAGAAAAACAACGTGAGTGAGAAAGCGTTCGAAGCAATGACGTGTAGAAACTTCAATGAATACTATTTGAACGAACGTCTTTTTTTTTGTCGTCTTACTTGTAGCAAAAGTAAGTGTCAAAGAAAAAATATTGGGCTAAAAATCAAAGATTTTTCGTCTCCAAAGTAAGTTACTAAATCACGGGACCTTGTTCAAATTCATATCCTACTTTTAGCCAACAATCACTCAAGTCAAATAAATCTAATTTGATTTCATTATAGGTCGTGGTGTTCTATCTTTGGCTATTATTACTAGAACTTATCAAAATATCAGTAAGTATGTGTATGATTAAAAAGCTTTCATAAAAAATTAGAAGAGACTAATTAGTTATTCATTTATTACTGTTATATGGTAATCTTTGTTATCTATTAAATATTGAGAAGATCCAAGTATGAAAAGAAAATGAAGACTTCAAATGTCAAAATGTTTGACAATAGTCTCAATGGGTCTTATGACTCTTCATAGCGCATCTAGGAGAGATCTTGATAATTTCTAATAGACCACTCTAAGGTATAGGCGATGCAGCAAAGTCAATATATGAGATTCATAAAAAAAACTTTACATGATAGTGAGAGAATAAAAAGCAAAATAGTGGTGGTTTATTTTTATAACACCATAATTTGTAAGGAATCGTTCAGAACAGTAGCGGTTTGAAGAGAGCACAAATAATAGACTATTTTTCAAATGACTTTTTTTCCACTTTTCTATATAAAGATAAACGTCAAACTAATGTACACTTCATCGAATGAACCCTGAAGCAGTGCTTTGTCTATATTTATCTGCTTTATTTGAAAATTTTTAACTCATCACTGATTCAGAAGTATTATGAATACTATTTTTCTTAAGTACTCGACATATGAAATTTTCTCATACTATCGCAAGAAATAGATAATGAAGTAATGCTAAATGAAATAAAATGATTCTTTTCTCTTGCTATGTATCTTTATCTGTTGTACAGTGAAGTGTTTCAATTTATTCGGATTTGTTGATATCAACTGTCTAATCTATTGACTAGTATCAGTAAGAACGTCACTTCATTCATGATATTTGACTAAAGACCTACTCAAACATATTTTCTTCTGATCTAGAAGTTTGACATAACCCACACTTTTGACAGTGGATGCTAGAAAATGACATTGTCAGTTGATATACCAGTAACTACGTGAGCCTTTCTTAGAGTGTTTTCTTGTTGTACATGATAACTTTTAGATGTTGATGTCGTCATGTTTTTTTTTTATAATCCGATCAATAGATTGGATGTACTCTCTTTTCTTGTAGCATATGGACACAACTGTGCTACTGTCTTCCATTTAGATATTCATTGTGTATTACTTTTTTAGTCATAGGTTTGATTGGATGAGTTGATCAGAGGTAGGACAAGTACAAGTACAGCAAGTAAAAGTTTTTATATGTGCTGGAAAAAATTGCACTTGTACTTGTACTTGTACTTGAAAATATGTACTTCTTCTTGTACTTGTCTATGTGCCAAGTATACTTGCTCATGTACTTGCACTTGAAAAACTATACTTGTACTTGTACTTACATTTTAAGAAATATACTTGCCTATGTACTTGTTTTTGCAAAAATATGTTTCCATTTGTACAAACCACTTTTAAGAAAAACGTACTTGAACTCGAAACTTGTACTTGAAAAAAAAGTGTACTTGTACTTCTGTTCTAAAAGTGGCTATTATACCAATGGTGTACTATGCCAGGATAATGAATGATTTCTATAACATACTGAATTATCTGCGTCATATTAACTGTTTATGAAGATTGGATCGTAGTACTTTTTTCCGAGTATATACTTTTAGTGGTATTAAAAATTAGATTATACCAGAGTAGAATGAGCAACACATTGAACTTCATGAGCATATAGATGTTGTTTTATGAATATTATCTGAAATATTAATGTATTACTACAGGAAGCCGCTTTTTATAGTTTATTCAAACATCTTAAGCCATATCTATGCTTTAATATGTTTATTCATTTTCGATTATGCTCATTGTTTTTCTTTTCCCTCCTATGTGTAGTGACTTGTCTCTCTAATTGATGTACCTAGATTTAATATACGCATTAATTTTTGTTCATTCCTACCAATGACAAGTAACTTATCACTGTTGAACATAAAATAATCTATGGTGTACATCGTAGAATGATGGTATATATATACATATATGATCAAACAAATACATTAGTGTGTAATTATCATCTATTCTTGGAGAAAAGTGTAGTCAGACTTTCTAGTGTTTATCATTCTTCTTTTTTTCCTTTATTTGTAACCATTTGATTTGTAAAGGAAGACAATGTTTCATAGAAGAAGATCAAAAGGTGATCTGCTCTTTTATTTGATTCTAGGTTATCTTCATTTCTTCACATGATCTCTCTTAATGAATTTTTCGTTTTCACCTATCCTGGAAACAATGTCATATCTGGTCAATGTAAATTTTGTGAAAAATCTTTATTGGACAAAGTTGGATCAACCGGAAACTTTCACAAACATCTTAAGCGTAAACATAACGCACAACTCGAAGAATCAAAATCTCATGCTTCTGTGCCACCAACACAAAGCATAGATGAAAATTCTGAAAATTTTACAAGCAACATCAACAGAATAAATAAAGCTATTTTAGAAGAATTAATTGTGAGATGTAATTTGCCACCATCACTAGTTGAACATGTTGGTTTTCGAAAATTTTTAAAAGGAGTCGTCCCCAAATGGAAACCTACATCTGCACGATATTTTACCAGAATATTATTGCCATCGTTGATGAATAACATCCAAGATAAGATAAAAGATTTACTTACTAACGTTGATCATATATGTATTACAGTAGATGTATGGACAGATAGACGAGGAAGATCGTTTCTCGGTATCACTGGTCATTTTCTTGGATTGGATTATGTGCCACATGCTCTGCTTTTGGATTTTTTACGTTTAAAAGGATCCCATACTGGAGAAAATATCTACAACGTTACCGTGAAAGTTCTTGATAATCTGAAGGTAAACAATATTACATATACACTAATGATTCTATTTTAATTCTGTGGGTAATTTGGATTTCGAACAAATTTCGGTGAAACAAAAATAAAACAGGATAGGATCTAGCGAAAATATTGTTAAGACCATAGATTCATAGAATTCATATTTATTCGAAGATAATACGAAGTGAACATTTTTAGTCGAAAAGTTTTGTCTCATAATAACCGATTCACTAAAAACCTCGGGAATTGATGAAAACAACAAAAAATCTATCTCCAATAGTTCTTACCAAGAGTAAAAGAAAACGAATGTTTTTATCGCCAAGATCTGAACTGTTTCTAAGTTTATAGAACATTTCAAAACATTTCATGCAATTTAAGCGCATGATATACATTTGACAATGTTTGAAATAATGCAATTTTTTCAATGTTCTGTAAATGGAAATTTATGTTAAAGAGTTCAACGATGACTTCTATTCACACATTGATTGTTCACTATCTTTATGTGATCTATGCCAATGTTGTGAACTAATTCTGTTATAGTTTCAGCGAAATCATTAGTATCAATGTTTTTGTGAGTTTAGTAGATGAGTCGTAGTATATTGAGAACTGTTGTTCTTCTCATGATTATTATTTACAAAAGCCTGATTAGTCAATTAAATCAGTAGTTTGAGTGATAGTTAGGTTTAAAAGAAAAAGAAATACAAAACAATCTTCATGAAGAAGTAGTAACGAATAAAGTAACAAACAGGGTACTAATAAAAAAGAAAAGAAAGTTTCTGTTCGAAATACAGAAATAAATTAGAGTGAATGCTTCTAGAACGACCTAGTATCCTGTAAAAATAGTTACAAAATATGAGAGACTTTTCGCTTCGAGTATTTTGTATTTGCTATTTGAATAATGAAGTTGAAAGCCATTGATGGGTTCTGGATGTTACTTATCAAGCTGCTATCTTTAACAAGCTTTCTATACTTTTTTTTCGATAAATAATTAATATACTCTAACTATTGTTGATAATATTTCTTTCATTAGCTCAAAGAAAAAGTATTTAGAATAATAACTGACAATGCTTCTTCAATGATAAAAGCCTATAAATTTGGTTTAATCGTTAACGATGTTGATAATATTGTTCAAGACGCTAATAAACAACAACAAGCTGACAATTTTATTAAACTTTATGATGATGACAATTCGAACTTGTTGAAAGAATGGATTTTGGTCGACTGGTATGAAAACATCAACGATTCGTTCGATAAAAATGATACTATTCCAAAAAGATTGTCATGTTTTGCACACAGTATTCAGTTAGTCATTCGAGATGGTCTTAAAGATGCTCCGTATCTGTCTAATTCATTATCAAAATGTATCAAGTTAGCTCAACGCTCTTATAAGTCAACCAGAATAGCTGATATGTTAGATGACATGGGGAAAACAATAAATCGACCGAATATAACACGTTGGAGTTCTGAATATCTTCTTATTAAATCAGTTATTGCTTTTGGAAAAAATTTAATTGATGAAATTACTGACCTTATTGATGATAATGATTTGAAATTTAGCAATAATGATTTTATTGTATTACAAGAAGCAATAGAAATATTGGAACCATTTGCAGAAATAACTTCTCGTATTCAATCTGAATCAGTTGTTACTGCTAGTCTCGTTGTTCCATCTGTTGTGCATATTATCGACCATTTGCAGCATTGGAAATCACATGCTCCATTTCTGAAGCAAGTATGTATACAACTGGAACAATCCATCAATAACAGATTTGCTGGTATTGTTAAACGTTTATCTCAACAGAATGTTAATATTGACGATCCTTTTTCGGATCCAATTTATTTCATTTGTACTGTACTAGATCCAGAATTTAAATTTTATTGGCTTACTCAAATGAATTATAAACCATTAGTCGAATTGCAAATAAGACAATCTATAATTCGAATGATATTAGATGAATGTGAACAAAACATCAATAGATCATCGGAAAGTGAACAACCATTATTATCTTCAATATTTTCTGCAAATAGTTCTACGACACAACCAATTAGTACACCAATTATAAAAAAACGTAAACTTTTCCAATACGATGACGGTCCTGCTATCTCAGTTGGTTCGACGAGTCCTATCGATGAAATCAATGCATATATCAATGATCCAGTGCGATTAAAATTTTCATCATATTGGAATAAATCGAATTTGTATCATTTAAAAAACATCGTCAAGAAAGTGTTCTCAGTACAAGCAACATCTGCACCAGTTGAACGTATTTTCAGTCAAGCTGGCCTGATTATGTCACCGAGACGCACATCTATGAATGAAGAAGTGTTTAGAAATTTGTTGTTCTCACGTGTAAATCAGAACCTTATTTAAGAAGCATTTCACAAAGTCTTACTTAATTTTTATCTTTCTATTTACTTTTTTTTATAATCATTTTTTTTTACCAGTTAGACATTGTATTATTATACTGTTGAACAATACTTTTTTCTTTTCTTTTAAGACACCTCAGAGTCTCCGTCAGATTTCCTAATTCATTTTTGTTTATAAGTATTATGATAGCTTAAAAATCTAAAATGACTCAAACTACATAATGAAACAGAAAAAAAAGCAGATTCTAAGACTCACCATATCTTTTTTTAAGAGAACTCTGGCAATTGAATCTAGGTCATGACGAAGAACTCAATCTAGTTTATCACTCACATCACGAATAAGCTCGCAAATTTCACAAAATAAAGAACAATACTTCAATGGAGAACAAGAAACGGATTTAAAGTTAGAATAAAAGCAGGAAGTTCATGGATCGATACCTGAGTGAAAGTATGAAAGTATTTTTACTGAAGCACAAGTACAAGTACAAATGTAAAGTAATTTTCTTAAAGTACAAAGTCATGTAGAAATCTCGGGTATTTTTCTAAAAGTACAAGTAAATATACAAGTACAAAGTAAGGTTTTCCAAGAACAAGTCGAAGTATAAATACTCATGTTAGGTACTTGCTGTTTGTACTTAGAATTGGAAATAGTACTTGATACTTATGCTTTTACTTGAAAAAGTATTAAAAGTATAAGTACAAATACTTGTGTCCGAGCTCTGTAGTTGATAACAAAAAGTGTCTATATAGCTGCGCATAGTATTATGAACAATAATTCTTATGTGAATATAAATACTTACAATTACATGTAACCTTCTTTAAACATAAGTTAGTAGTTTTGCTATATATTGTGAAGCAAGATAGAGTACTGAAGCAATGTAGATATTTAATCAAGCTGTCAAGCAAGCCATATAGATGAACATTACTTGTCATTACTCGATTGATAGAATAGATTTAAGTTTATCTTTATAACTGATTATTATTTTAAGTTGAGACTCCTACGGTCTAATAAAAGTCGTCATTGAAATTTATTTTTGACATCATAATATCTCTGCATATCAACATCGTCATGTTAAAAATGAATAATGAATACAAAATAATCAAACATTATTTTACTAAACTTATTAATGATAATGATTAATTATTCGCAACTCACTCTTCACAATAACATCCACTACTTCTAGATATCAATATTATTGTGTTCTATGGATTCTCTTCATAGGATGAAAATGATAGAGATAGATATTAAATGATTAGAATCATTTTTCTATTAGATACAAAAAATTTGACTCACTATCGCGAAGCGATCACTAAAATGCAAATAAATCTGAGTCATTTCTTTCATAACGTCTCTATTTCCTAATATTATACTGTAAAAGCAAATCTTCTCGAAGAAAAGAAATTTCTTAATATTGTTTTTATTTGTCAGAAAAATTATCTTGTCCTATTACCTATTGATGAATGTCTTGTTTTTTTTCTGTTCAACTTCCAACGATGAAAGTTACAAATATGGTTAAGTTTCTTTCGACGAATACATACAAAGTCTTACTTTGGAAAAGAACTCATGATTCATAATTTCCATTCGTCACTCTTTATTTTAATAGAAACCAAACTCGTTTGTTGACACTCTCTACACTCCAGTGACCTAAAACACCTTCTTCTGGTTACCAAACCAAAAAATAAAATAAAAAATAAAATTTCTCTGTGACAACACAGATTACTCGTGAGCGATTTCATGAAAATATTAGAACTCATTTTCTTCTCTTTTTCTCTATATATCAATTGGATTCTCATGATCACTTTTGTTATTATAAGTAACTGTAACATAAAATCATTCCATGACCAATGGTACATCATTCGTTCCACTAATTATAATTTGCGGATGAGTATAGCTAGTATGATCATGATTACATTCTTGTTAAAAAGCTGTTCATAGAGCTCAAATATTGGATACGCTTAAATGAACATTTGGATTATAAATAAAATACTTATCTATTTTGAATTATATACTTTTGAGGAGAATTTCAACTAGCTACCAATCGAACAGATAAAAGTTCAGAAGGGTATGAATAACTTCTCAAAAGTTATCTAAATTTAACTATTATTGATACATAACCCATTCTGTTCTCAAGTTTCATCCTATTCTAAGATTTTTTAAAATATTTTCCCCTTTTCTTTCGTATAAAGTATGAAAAGCAAACGTTTTCTTTCATTCTTTCCGATGTTTTTCCACTCTATCTTTTTTAGGGCAAATACTAATATGTCAGTCGTTCCAATTTTTGAACGTGAATCTGCGATTATTGTTGGTGCAGGAGATGCTGCATATGCGCATCATACTAGAGAGACAACAATCATTGGTAATATACGAGCCACAGGTGTTACAGTGACCATCCGAAATAACTACGCAGCACGATACAATTTTGCTGTGCGTCAATACAATAATTTACCATTATCAGAAGAGAAAACGCTTATGTTTGGTGATCTTTTCTTGGTACATCGCTATACTGTTATTTTTTTATGGCTTTTATCTATGATTTGTGGTGGTATCAGTGTTGTTGTAAAACCATTAGTCACAATACCCATTATTATAAGTTTGCTATACATTGTTGTATCGATCTATAACAGTATAATTTTTAAGAAGAATCAAACCGTGTTCGATGATACATTAATGATACAAAATAATGATCTTGGTAGTAACAATGAATGGTATAGGGTGCCTATTCATACACGGATTGAAGATCGTGCTGCATTGGCAGCCGTTGGAGGGGACAATTCAAGTGCTATGGCAGCTATTCGTGAAGAGTATACAAATTTGAAAGAAGTCAAAGTTATGGTATACACAGAACGATATATAACACGTTTCACTTATTTTCCAGCAAAAACTATTGCGATACATGTTGTCCTCTTTCTTATTGCATTTATATTTAGTATTGCTATGGTAGCTATACGAACATGAAACTAAGACAATTATGACACTCAAGACTCATATTTCATATTTATTTTAATTAAGAATTGCCAAGTAGTTTGTATTACACTCATTTCATTATAATAAATTATAATCAAAGACATAAAATACAAAAGAAAACTTTATTCATCAGATAGAATTCTAATTTTATGATAAAATGTGATATAAACAACGCATAAATGTATATAAATGTGTATGCTGAACTCGAAACAGTATAAAATAGTATGTCAAAATGTAATCAGCCACTGTAAACTAAAATAAAAATATCTCTTTGTATCATTTTTATCGTCGTTATCATTACCACAATGATTAACAAAAACAAACAAACACCAATATGTTGATCAATTGGTTCAATCAAAAAAAAAATTGTACAGAAAGCATTCCATCTCCTTTGCTAGTTATCAATCTTCCTCAATAATTTGCTGCTTAACTGAATAAATGACTATTCATGTTGATTGAGTATAATACTTCAAATGGTATTCATAACCGTTACAATTTACTAACGAAAGCATTCTTTTTCTGTAAATAATTATTTTTTCAGTATTCTTCTATAAACATTTTTTTATCTACTACATATTGGTTGGGTAACGAATATACGTGAATAGAGGTTTTTCTCTAGGCTGGAAGCATAGGGTCTATAAACCGAAATTCACCTGTGTCTGTCTGTCTGTTTGTCTGTAACACCTGGTACAAGTGACACTTTTCGTGGTACAAAGTGCCATAGTCGCGGTACAAGTGACCGTTTTCACGTTGCAAGTGACCACGAGAGTGATACCAAGGACCATAATGATGCTACGAAGTATCATAGCCATGGTACAAGTGACCACAACAGTGGTACAAAGGACTGTACTGTTGGTACGAAGTACCACAGCCTTGACATAGGTGACCACGACAGCTGTACAAAGGACTATAGTGATAGTAAGAAGTACCATAGTCATGGAACAAGTGACTACAACAATGATAAAAGTTGTTTCTGGCTGCCTACGATAAATTGAGCTCTAGTAATTCGAGATGCATCAGTGCACGAGGAAAAAATTATACATTCAATAAACGGAATCATCATTGGACAGAAAGAACAAAATGCTCAGAATAATATGAGAAAAAGACTAGAATAACAAAGGTCGACTTCTCGTCAAAAATGTAAGATTTAAGTTTTTAATTACAAAAAACTGACTTTTTGAAGTGGTTGCTCTTGTACGTGAAGTTCTCTGGCGAGTTTATTTAGTACTTTTAGAAGAGTACATTTAGAATCAGGATGTGGTGATGTGTATATCTGCCTTTCCTCAGTCTAGGGTTCAGTGAATCGAGAATTGATGAACGTTACTTGTTTATATTTGCTGCTATTTCTATCGGAAAAGAAGGTAAACCACCACTAGTATTACAAGCAATACTTCAAATAATTCTATTGCAAATTGTAACGTAAAAACGCATTAACATTATTATATATATATATGCGATCCGAACGTTTATATTCTAATTGTCAATTCCACCTTTACACAGACGTAACACTGAGATACAGCGAGTAAAGTACTCACAAGACAGAAACAACGTTGCTATGGATGGTTAATACATCTTATCATGTACGAATAAGTGAAGAACAAATCATTCATATTTGGTCAAAACATTTCCATTATACTATAGTCACTGTCTGGATAATCGATTACGATTACAAATACAGCTAATACTATTACTCGAACATTTCCAATGTGCAAAGTCTATACTAATTATTCGCTTGGAATAGGTAATTCAAATGTTACCTACTAAATGATTCACTTACAATCCCAAGCAGATCTAACACTAAGTTGCCACCGAACCCAATCCCAACATCACACAACCAACATCGTCATGTAGAAGTAATTCATTCTACATAATCAACAATTACTGAAATAACTACGAATACGTTGATAAGTTTTAGACTGAGTTTCACATTTCCCTTACTTAGTTTTTATTCATGTAAATAGTCTTTACCAACTAAGCGATTGGAATTCATGCAATCATATAAGTTTTTGGATTTTGAAAAATCAGGAAAATATATATCTAGTAAACAGATTCTAAACATATCTGAACAAGACGATCCATGCAAAAGTCAAAACGCGCCCTGTGATACTTTCAACCTCGAAAATCTTTCACAATAAAATAATATTATTCTGGATTTTATTATTATGAAATAGTTCTTTACTTCTTCAAATTACTGAATAGTTTTGAATTTAAACGTAATAACAGACTCTAAATATACCTGACGAGTGCCTTAAGCAAGGACGAAACGCGTCCTGTGATGCTTTGAATTTCAATTCTTTCTGTATACAAAATTTAAATATTGAGGTATTTATTCTAATTACATTAAAGTCTTAAATACCTTAATCTAGGTTGAGTGATTTAGGACTTGCATGTAATTATGAAATTCTAAACATGCCTGATGAAGACTGCCTAAGCAACAGCCGAAACGCGTCGTGTGATGCTTTGAATTTCAATTCTTTATTATATAAATTTACGAAACCGGTCTTGCTAGCCATTTGACTATAAATTCTCATATAACTATTTGAATAGTAGTTGGAGAATCTCTTTCAAAATTTTGTTGGGTACTTGTTCTTATATACAGGTGACCCGATAATATATTTCATTGTGATTGTCTATTAGCTTGGGAGTATTTCTCATAATGCTTCTGACTTTAGCTTTCACTATAGAAGAGTTATTACATATATCTCTATGTTAACATCTCTAAGTCACACATAAGCAATTGATAAGTACTATTTGAGCACTTTTCGAAACCGGTCTTGTTAGCTATCTGACTATAAATTCTAATATAACTAACTATTTGGATCTCTTAAGCTGATACAACATACCACTTGATAAAATTTTGAGTCAGTAATATCAGAAATACCAACTGGTATCGTGGTAACTACACACCCACTGATGTCTCTACTGAATTTTTAATTTCAGTAGTTATAGTATTATGTTTTGATTAAATTACTTTTTAGTCTTTGGATCTCTTAAACTAGTACTTTTTGCCACTTGATAAGATTGAGTTAGATAGATCGAAATACCCTAAGGTATCGTGGTAACTACACACACCCACTGGTGTCTCTACTGAATTTTTAATTTCAGTAGATATAGTATTATGTTTTGATTCAATTACTTTTTAGTCTTTGGATCTCTTAAACTAGTACTTTCTGCCACTTGATAAGATTGAGTTAGTATATTCGAAATACCCTAAGGTATCGTGGTAGCTACATACACACCCACACCCTCTCTTCTCGTCTAATTGGTAGGACATCTGCCAGGATAGCAGAAGGTACGTGGTTCGAGTCCCGTGAGGAGAACTATTTATCTTATATTCTATATTTCAAATTCCGAACTTACCCGTCGAGTCCCTTAAGCAAGGACGAAACGATCGTCGTAAGTAGCTTGGAATTTTCTTATCAACACACCCTCATTTCTCATAGTTCATGGTTATTTATTTTGGTTGGACAATGAAAAAAAGAGAACACACAATTCAAAAAGAAATACGGTTTCTTGAAGAAAGCCAAGTTTTATTCAAAAGCACGACGTCTGCGCTCGCTGGCCTGTTGGTACGTAAAATACATTTGTCCAGCTCCACGACATGTAAAGCAAACCCTATTCTTGTGTCCTTTCCCATTGCAATCACAACAGACCGCGCCATCGCTATCTTTACCTATTCCCTTTCAACTGAAACACAGTGATTTACCAGAACCATCACATGCAATACAATCTTTGAGTACTCCAACTGGTTGTGAACTCATTCTGGCCTAAAAGTAATTCGGCGGAAATATGTTCAGCTGTTTGCAAATGGCGCAATATAACTTACTTCTTTTAATTTTGATAGACTGAATTTTCTCTAGAAGTTAGTTGATACTGTTGCTTTCTTTCTTGCTTTTTGTTCTATGTTAAACAATGTCGGCTTGAATTCGCCGTCTTATAAAAATAATTTTTTTTTCGTGTGCATTTATATAGTTGAGGTTGCTCACCGTGTTCTACCTACTTCATTCTATTTGCCGGCGGCGATATTGAAAACAAACATAAATGACAAAATGCACGTTGAGCGACAAACATATGAGAGAACAACTTTTTCAGCGAAAAAAACAATTAAAAGCATAATAGCAAAAACAAACCCATTTCAGTGAAGACGCGTAAGAGCGAACAATAACCAAGGTGGAAAATGGCACACTTCTAACTTCTTTGTTAGATTCTTTATAGATTATTATAGTTTGTTTATGATTTTCGCAAACCTTCAAGAAGTATAATAGAGCTATGCCATCTGATTAGACCCTTAAGCAGGATTAAAATCGTGATAACGGTGTGCTTTTCAAGTCACCCCTTATATACAATATATGTATTGTTTCCTCCTTCGAAAATTGTATAGATCAATTGTATAGTGGGGATGTCTTATTTGTGATCATCGGATCATTAGAATAGATTACCTATATGCAATTAAAAGCCGTCTGATGAGGCCCTTAAGCAAGGTCGAAATCGCGATAACGGTGCGCTTTCTAACTCACCACTACAATAAAGTTACCTAACGTTTCCTTCGGGATATTGAATAGGTTAATTAGAATTCAATGTCTTGTTTATGATCAGGGGAACATTAGAGCAGAATTCTAATCTAATTAAGCCGTCTGATAAGACTCTTAAGCAAGGTCGAAACACGTGTCATGGCGGCTTACCACACCCTTCATAATTTTGGAGAGTGTTAGACATATGTACTTATAGGTTCTAAACATGCCCGTAGAGTCCCTAAAGCAAGGATGAAACTAGTCATATGCTGCTTTCAATCTTTAAATTAAATCTTAATAATAACTGGAGGAGACGCTTGAGCAAGGCCGAAACCGGTCGTGGTATGCTCATCTAATTTTGACTGTTTCTTTGTAAATTTCTACATATCCTTCAAAAAATTGAGCTTCATAGGACTATGTAGAAGATATTTTAATTGATTTACGTAATCGATTAAGATGTCTTAAGCCACCTGAGGAGACCCTTGAGCAAGGTCGAAACCGGTCGTGGTATTGCTTAACTAAATTTTAATATTACTGTTTTTGTAAATTTCTACATATCCTTCAAAAAATTGAGCTTCATAGGACTATGTAGAAGATATTTTAATTGATTTACGTAATCGATTAAGATGTCTTAAGCCACCTGAGG